GAATTTTCTTTCTTTTCAGATCATGAATTACAAGCATAGCATCATCAACGGTGATTGCAAGGAAAACTTCTGCAATCCCTGCGGTTTTTCCTCTTGGTAAATACGTTCTGGACGTGACCAAGGGTGGTCTTCCAAATCAGCCGGAACCCCCACACATCTATTGTAAATGTGAGCATTAGAATTCCATAGTGCCAATTCATATCCTATTTTCTCATTCACAGACAAGACGCACTCTTTCGAAATCTCTCGCTGCTGCTGCAGTAATAAGTGTGGCTGCAATATATTGGCATGTTAAACATTTTTATTTGTATTTGAGGGAGCATCTGACAGCCCACTTGCGTACATAAATAAAAAATACAAAACATGACGAGGGGCTTGAAATTGAAGATGATGAAGATGTACTCTTCCCTTGTTGGAAACTGAGAACATGAAGCTAAAGCATCAATTAGCAATTCTGAATAAGGTTAGTCATTTTTAATTTTATATATTTGTTCGTCGACATTATAGGACATTTCATCATTGCAGGCTATTGTTTCAGAACAAAACGTCGCTACACTGCTGTTTTTGGTAAATACAGTGACGAGCAAAACTGTAACCTGGAGTAACACTTTTTATTGCAGCCGTCGATATCTTTCCAAGTTCTAACGACATTCATACTGTTGTTGTATACTTTTATTGGTACATCTTTGCTTCCTCTGTCATAACGATGTGAAGTCAATTCAACAACATTAACAAAACCAGCAGACAAAAATGTAAATTAAGGCAAATGTTACAGTTTTGCACTCATATATTTTTAATAACTTTTTGACAATTTTCACGAAAAAAAAAAGAATTATTAACACAATGTTCAGTATGCTTTTGCTTTTTTTAGTTCCTGGTTGCAATTTGGCATACCTTATTTGTATCTCTGTAAAAATTCTGGAGGTATAGCCTCCCATATATCCTTGGTTTGCTTTCACAGCTCATCTACTCCATTGGACGGACTTGAATACTTAGTAAGCTGCACTTTTAGTTAATTTCGCAAATTCTCGATCAGATTCATGTCCTCGGATTGTGGAGGTCATTTCAAATTAGCAAATTTTTGCCTTTGTTCCAGTCTTTGCGAACATGTGCAGTGCGTTTTGGTTGATTTTTCAGCAGAAACTCTAATTTTTTCGACTACATCTTGCAAATTTTGTTGAAATATAAACATATACTGTTCCTTACGCATAATGCGTACTAAAAGGACCAACAACATTTTTGAAATACAACCCCAAACTATTATTGACCGACCACTGTGATTCACAGTTTGCCTTACATGATGCGCTTAGGCTTAATTTGGGCCTTTGATCCAATACCATGCCCGGCCATCTGATTGAAAGCGATTAATATAGTCTTGTCAATCCAAAAAACCCTCAATTAAATCTTAAAAATGTGTTTTTTGTTGCATTCTGTAAGGCCTAACATATCCCAATAGACAACGGTCCGGTTTTCGTGCGATCCGGCAAAATGCTACCACTCTCGCACATGTATTTTGATGAAAATTGCTTTTTTCTTCTTTTGTGATCCATTACGCTCAATTTGGCAATTTTTCGCCTCGCTGTCTACTGATTTGCATTCAATTTTAATACCTTAAGTGCTTCTGTAGTAGTGGCTGCAGTGCTACTTGCAACTAAGTTCACAACATATCGGACTGTAATATATTTTGACAGACTTCCTTTGTCCTTGTAACACTTTAGGCTATTTTTTTTCTCAGTCTTAACATTTTCATGTGGCAAACTCCGCAATTTTTTGTCACTTTCCCTGAGGTCCCGCCTTTCCGCAGTAAATCTATTATTTACATTTATGTTTCCTGATTAACCATATTATTTATTGGTGATCACTTCTTGAATAAATTACAATATAGAAAAAAGTCATCTGACTTCCAACTAAGCAAAAGATAACTGTAAAATGCAAAACTGAGAGTGAGTGCAAAACTGTAACATTTGCCTTAATTTACATTTTTGTCTCCAGGTTTTTTTATTGTTGTTGGATTGACTTCAAATCGTTATGAGAGCGGGAGTAGGGGTGTACCAATAAGAATATACAACAAAAGTATGAAAGTCGTTAGGACTTTGAAAGATAGCGGTGGCTGAAATAAAAAAAGGCGTGAGTACTAGGTACTCATGAAATTTGATGTGTAAACATATGCGAACGGCAAAGCATAAAAGTACGTTTACATATAAATATAATCTCAATCAAAGCTCGTTAGCTGTCAAATTGGTTGTGCATGTTATTCACACAACTCGAAGAAAAGTTAAACTTCTTTTCTGTGCCACCGTGGTCACTTTTTTCTGCACACATATTATGCCATTTAAATATATTTAACTGAATATTTTATTAAAAACACCTTTACAAACCTATTTTCCTTACTAGCGTCAATTTTTGTTTACTTTAACATTTGACATTCCTCCTCTTCTTCGCAAG